GCCTTCTGACGCCACAGCCTGCCTGCTGCCCCGTCCGGTGCCCCTTGCTCCGACCTCTGCCACTGCGGGGTGCTGGTGCCCGTTGCCCGGTGGTGTGGCTCTGGGTTGCTTTGCGGCCTCTGGGACCCTGTGGCACCCCGTTGGCCTTGGGGAGGAAACTGTGGAGCCGGGTGGGAGCAACCTTGTGAGGGGCCCAGGTCGGACAGAAGTGTGGGACTTGGAGTTGGACGGCTGGTCTCTGCTCCTGGGTTGGGGTGCTCCATGTGCTCCGCCTTGGAGCGGGAGGTGGGAGGGAACAGGCTGGCCCAATCCTGCGGGAGGGAGGGTGGCATGCTGCAAGCTTGGGCCAGCTCAGCAGGGAGTGTGGCTCCTGGGCCTTGCTTTGTTTTCTGGGCGGCCGTGTGCTTGGCATTGGCCTGGACTCTCCTTCCTCCAAAGCTGCCTGACAGGCCAGGGACACCCACAGGAGGAAGAGACGGTGGGTGCTGAGCAGGGCGTGTGGACACCCAGTGACCAGGGAGGGAGGTCAGTGAGTCCCATGCCTGGAGCAGCGGCCTGATGGAGGCGCAGCAAACTCTGCTGGCCCCAGGAGGCCTCTCTGGTGCTTGGAACAATGGGGGTCTGGGAGGGCTAGGTGGCAGTGGGGAGGCCCGCAGAGCAGGAGCGCAGTCAGGTCCTGGACGTGTGGACAGTAGGCCTGCTGGACTTGGGCATGCCCTTCAGGTGCCTCCCAGAGCTCAGCCCAAGCCCCGAAGGGCAGAACGCCCCGAATGCAGAGGACCGGGCTGGAGTGCCAGCAGTCGATCCGGCGTGGGCGTGTGGGTCTGCGCCTGCTGTCTTGAACGGTGCTCACATGGGCCCCCAGCACCCTCCAGTCTGCCCCCGTGCGAGGCACTTGACCTGGCAGGACAGCCCCGCAGCCAGCGTGCCCGTAGTCAGTCGGCGGCCGTCTGGGCAGCACCCGCTGTGCCCGCAGCTCCTCCCCCTGCAGGGCTCACCCATGCCTCCAAGCTGCATTCGCCGCCCAGACCAGGATGCCCCCGGCTGAGCTGGGCCTGCGGCCAGGGGAAGGGGCAGGATGGCAGCCTGGGCACCCGACACCCACTGCCCTGTGCCAAGGAGGGGCTCTGTACCGAGGCCCACTCTCAGTCCCTCGTGGTCCCTTCCATGGTTGGAGCCTGGGCAGTTTGGCACACACCCACGACTGTGCCTTCGCTGGACCTCACGAGTCGAAGCCCCACATTTTGCCTGTGGGTGCCAGGCGTGCTGTCAAGCAGCGTGTCCCGGCTGCCTCGATGGCCCCGCCGGCCCTCTGCAGGCCGCTCTGACCCCAGAGGTCCCGCTCTCCCACTCCTGGACTCCCCCGGGCGGGAGAGGTGCAGGTTCACAGGGGCTGGCCCTGTTGGCGTGCAGACTGGCCGAGCAGAGGGACGGTGACCCGTGACCTCTGTCCCCATGGCTGGGGCACGCTGCGGGTTCCTTAGATGTTGTAATCACTATCGAGCTGTCAAGTCAGCTGTTGCATAGCAGTGGGCATTGCGGAGGAAGCTGGCTCCCCCATGCCGACAGGGGTTCGAATGCAGGCCCCAGTGGCAATGCCAGGTGTGCACATGTTCTGAGACCCTGATGGGTAGAGTTGGAGGAAGGACAGCGGCTGACTGGGCCATCTGGGGCTTTCTCTCCCTCCCAGGCTCCCGCCCCATCGCTGACCAAGGGAGGGTGGAGGCAGGCGGAGGCACTTCCCGGGCGGATGCCTGGGGCCGAGCAGTTGTCTCTGAGATGTGCTCCTTGGCTCTGGAAGTCTGTCGGCATGTGTCCACATCTGTGAGGCATTTGACCCCAGGTGGGCCCACAGGGTGCAGGACCAAGGCACCAGGCACCTCCAGAGGAGGTGGGGAGACTCAGCCGCGGTCCAGCCCCATGCCCACCGAGACCCGCACTGGTTGGGCCCTCGCCCGGCCATAGCCTTCCCCACCAGCTGTGGCGGGGCCTTCCCAGCGCAGGGTGTGCGGGACCCACGGCCGCGAGGGCCCCAGGACAGTGTTGGTGGCTCTGGCCTCGGCAAGACTGCAGGGCAGGCCTGCAGCTCAGCGACCCTCCCGGTCCCACCTGGAGGCGTCAGCAGGTGTGGACTGTGTGGCCTAAGGGTCACTGTCCAGGCTGGAGGACGGTGGCCATCCACATGTTGGGGGTGTGTCCGCGTCCATTCCTGAAGTAGCTGCAGCCCCGGCCCCGAGGCTGCGCTTGGCAGAGGCCTGAGGTCCTCTGCACGGTGGTCTCTGCCGCCCACACTGTCAGGCCCCTGTCCCGCAAGCTGTCAAGCTGTGCGCTGCGCCCGGAGCTCACCTGGGATTGAGTCCCTCCTGGCCGTGGGCAGCACGGGCCACCTCCCGTCCTCTCTGGGACAGGCCTGCCTTCTGTTGCAGACACCCAGCTCCCACAGCCTTTCTCCAGGGTCCGAGGGACAGAGCATAGCCAGATCCAGCCCCGGCCTCCAGGTCACTTTTGGAAGGGGACAGATGGGCCTGGGTGACAGCTGTGACAGCTGCCTCTGGGAGTTGGCCAAGGAGCAGATGTCCAGGTGCTTGGCTGACTGCGCACCAGGCGTGTCTGCTCGTCCGAGGATCCTGCCCGGCCCAGAGAGGCCAGCGCCCCGGGCTGCAGGTTCGGGTCTGTCCTCAGGGTGCCTGTGCCGTGGAAGAACCCGGCGAGGCTTAGGCCACGACTGGAGAGTGGCCGTGGCTGCCCCCCGGCAAGGAGTTCTGGCGACATGAGAGGCCTGTCGCAGGCAGAGCCAGCGCCCTCCAGGGAGGTGCTGGTGCACGGCCTGCCCAGGCTGCCCATCCAGGAGCCCGTGCTGACTGGAAGGGGCCTACTGTGTGCTTCCTCTCCGTTGGCAGAGCCCGCTGCGCCAGGCGAGGCAGGGCCGCGATGACTTGGGCAGGAAAGGCGAGCTGGGGCCCAGCGGGCCAAGGCCTCGCAGACGGTGGGCTGGCATGCCAGGGCTTCTGCGGCCCTGTGCTGGGCCTGGTGAGAGGTGGCCAGTTCAGGCGGGCTGTCCCCACCCTGGGCGCAGGGTGTTGGCATGGCTGCGCGCTGGTGCCGCGAGGGCTCTGGGTGGGCCAGCAGTATTCTCTGCCCAGCTGCTTTGTCAGGGCACGCTGAGAAGCCGTCCGTGGTCCCACACACGCTCCCTGTGGGACCAGCAGGTGGCTCTGGGGCCCAGGGGCCCAGGACACTGACCCACGTCTTCAGGGAGGAGCCTGTTCCCAAGCAGGGAGGACAGCTGGGCTGCTTCGGAGCTGTCCGCTGGCCAAGCCCGTGCAGACTGGCTGAGAGGCCCGCCACCGGGG